TCTCTCCCACTCTCCTCAAGTCTCATTTGTGGCTCCAGATCCAATTTCAGCTTTAAGAGGGTACAGTATTTCCTCAGTAACTGAAGAGACACTGTTTCCTCAGGAAAAATGCACTAGAGGCACAAGGACCTGGGAGGTCCTCACCCCTTCTCAGAGGCAAGACCGATGTAGGTGATTGCTGACATAGACACTGATAAAGCTATCCTTTTTGCTGGACCTGGAGAGGCAGGATATTTAGACCTTAACTTTCAAGAGGGGGGGGAGGCGCAAAAACCGGCTTAGTAGGGAAGAATGCATAACCATCAAGGGCAAGAGGCCCATTCTGCCTAGGTCCATGATGGGACCTCTTCATGGTAGGATGCTCCAAGAGGGGTGCCCCTAGCTGAAGCGCTCTGTGAACTCACAGTCAAGGAGAAAAGCAAGACTTTTGGCATGTCTACCAACAGAGGTCTTAGGGTGGAATGGTTAAGGGAATGATGCAGACCTGGGGGGCATCAACAGGTGGGTCTTGGGTTGCTCCAAGACCAAAAGTCTGGGCCTCCCTGGTGGCACAGTGGCAAAGTCTCAGCATTATCAAGCTCTCATCAGCCATTGCAGCACAAGTTCGATCCCCAGCCAGGGAGATGACCCCATGCACAGCAGACCTCTCCTGTTTCTTGCCCACTGCTCTCCTCAGCAGTGTATTTCAGTAGATCCAACTGTTCTGCTCTCCACTGTCTCTGGTAAATCCTCTCACCTCCTCCCCTGTACCTCTGGCCCAGACTCCAGTTCTTGTATGAATAAATAAAATCAATCTTAAAGAAGAACAAAAACTGGGAACTAATGAGGCAGTCAACTCTGTCAGGGTTCTCAGGTGGGGCTTGAAGGTGATATGAAACTGAAATATATTATCCAGACTGGTCCAGACCCTGGTGTTGCTCTGATATGGGGCTTCACTTTACTGAGAGACTCAGCAAGAACAGCTGTACGATCACCTGGCTACCTAGTTCATTTAGTAGGCAGAGCATGAGACTCTTAATCTCAAGGTTGAGGGTTCCAGGATGATGAACTGCATGTGAGGAAGAGCACGAGGTGTTATAGAGTTATGCTGAGGAGGTAAAGATATATTCCCTGGCCCTTCCTGGTGGCACAGCAGGTTAAAGCACAGCACTAAGAAGCTAAAGCCACTTCCGCATGAGTTCGCTTCCCGCCAGCCCCAGAGGTGACCACATGGCCCAGCAGACCTCTCCTGACCCGCCCGCTGCTCCCCTCAGCAGTGTACTTCGTCGATCTGCCTGTTCTGCTCCCCACTCTGTCTCTGGTGAAGCCTCTCGCCGCCCCTGAGCCTCTGGCCTGTATCCTAGTCCTGTATGCACAAATAAATAAATCTTAAAAAAAAAAAAAGGGGGGGATATAGTCCCAATGTTTAGCCATTTTGTTATCTGTAATGAGTCAAGGACTTGTCACTGTTCTATGTTTACTTCTTTACTTTTTCAGGATCTCTATTTCTTCATTTGTCAGATGGAAACAAGAAGATCTGTCTTAGGAGGTAGCTGTATGAAATGACTGAGCTAACAGGCTTCAAAACACCCAGCTTCACAGTTGAACCACAGAATTGAGAGCCCCATCTCCTGTTCAACGTTATTGTGCATTCTCTGCCCACCAAGGAAAACAGGGAAGAGGAGGCCGTGGGCTGGCTGAAACCTTAGGAAAGGATGTCTCCAAACATCAGGGCTACAGAGAAATCTGCAAGGTTCCAGAGTGAATAAAGGGTATTTCTAGACAACAAACAGACCCCTCAGGCTTCCATCTATAGAACCTACTTAAGCTGGCTTCTAGCAAATCCCTCCTTGGGGTGGCATCTGAACCAATCTATACCCAGCTGGACAGAAGCACAAAGTTGAATATACCTGATAAGGGGAAATTTTTCCTTTAGTAATTCCCTTTAATCTAATTTTAAAAGTAAGTAGGAAAATGTAAACAAGAGATCATCCAAGGAGATGATGGCCTCTTCCAGCCTTATTTCCCTGTCTTCCTTGCAGGCCGGCCAAAGACTACCAAAGGTTACCCTGTGACCTGGAGTTGCTAAGAGCTGCTGGCTGCTGTTCTGGGTCTGCCTGGCAGGTTTTCCAGTCCCTTTCCATCAGGGTATTTCCCCACCCCCACAGAGAGTGACAAGTACAGTACTCTGCTCTGCTCTGCTCTGCATACCTACCCTTCATTTAGTTTCACTGAACCAGGAAGACTTTTTCCTTGTCAAAACTCAGGATGTCTGTCTGAGCATGCAGGCCGCCTTAGCAATACTTCAATGTTTACTTATTCTACCTTTCCCATGGCAGAAACAATTATTGCCAGAGTCCAAAGACCTGCAGCTGCAGGTATGTGAACTCTACCTGGTTCCTTTGTGGAAGAAAGGTGCTTCCTTGTAGATCATTTTTTTAGAGACAGAAATGGAAAGTTTTAAACAAATGCCTACCTGCACAGAACACAGTGGTGCTGAATGGTATCATATGGGCTCCCCTTTATTTCCTACGACAGAGGCCAGCACAGCAGAAATGTGGTTTCCCTGACCACTGGCTTTCAGAGTCCTTGTTCACTGGGAGCAAACTCATCCTCTTGCTCTTATTTAAGCAATGGCTGTGTTGAGCTTGTGCCCAAAGGTGGCGCTTCTTAGCTGGACTTGGAAAACCTGAAGGCAAGGCAGCAGATGGAAGAAAGCTTCTATTCCTTGTGGGTAACTTAGTTCTGCCCTGGGATACATGTTGCTTCACCCAACGAAAGTTGCGTGGGTATTTTTGTTTTTAAGATTTATTTATATGCATACAAGTACTGGGGTATAGGCCAGAGGTTTGGGGGGTTAAAGGATTCACCAGAGATAGAGTGGGGAGCAGAACAGTGGATCTACTGAAATACACTGCTGAGGGGAGCAGCAGGTGAGACAGGTTAGCTGCCTGGCGGAGGATGGAAGTCATGCTGCAGAGGCTGGCAGTGGCTGTGATCTGCTTGACAGTGCTGTGTTTACCCCTGTGCCATGAGGGAGGCCCAAGGGGCACACGTTTTTTAAGACTGGTTTTGTCTGCATTTTGCCTTAGCAGATGTGGAGTTTCCCTCTTCAATCTCATGAGAACCTATAGGCACCAGTAAAAAAAAACTGTTCTTCCTATTTGTCAATCTTTAGATTGAAATCCCAGGTGCCCAACCCCTGATGGGAAAGCATGTGACATTAGCTGGCCTACTCTTTACATTTGCCTCCTCATGGTCATTTGGCAGAGGGCACATGACCAAGACTGGGTCAATCAAAGCTCTTCACAGGAATTTTTTAACTTGGAGATGGAGAAATGTCTGCCTCCATCCTTTGCCAGGAAAGGAGTGCCATCAAGGCGAGATTGAGGGAGTAAGCAATGAAAGAAATGGAGAGAGAGAAAGTCCCCATCTGTGATTTTCTTTTATGATTTATTTATTTATTCATACAGAGCTGGGGTACAGTCCAGAGGTGCAGGAGTGGTGAGAGGATTCACCAGAGACAGAGTGGGGAGCAGAACAGGCAGATCAATGAAGTACACTGCTGAGGGGAGCAGCAGGTGGGTCAGGAGAGGTCTGCCTCGCCATGTGGGTCACGGTTCAGCTCGACTCAGCTAGCTTGCAGTGCAGCGTCCTAACCGGTTGAGCCACCATGGCGGGCCCCGTCTGTGCTTTCTTTACTTGGGTAAAAACGGATACCTTTCCAGCTTTAATTTGAACTGGGTTTCTGTCACTTGCAACTGCGAAACCTGAGGGGGAAATTCTGAGGTAGCTGGAGACTGAATATGTGCTGAAAGTACACAGAGGCTCTCACGCTAACACTGCGAGTTTTGCGCGTTTATATTTTAGAAATAAGCAAGTTGTGGCTTCGGGGTCCAATACCTGTCTGTCTTGGGTCCCGGCCTGCAGGCCGTTGAGTGAGCGCCCACTGAAAGCCAACACACTGCAACAGCTCGGACCTTTCCACCAAGATGCAGAGTCACTGGTAGTCTTTGATCTCTTTCCACATTCACTTTTTGATGTTCACAGCCTCCACCCCACCCTGTCGGTTTTGGAGCGCAACGTCCCCAAGCAATAAAGTTACCTCACGTTCCGGTG